TCTTATCAACAAAAGCTGACCTTTTTTTTTCTATTTTTATTCCATTAAACGCGTTCTGCAAGAGAATTTCTATGTTTTATTATATATTACGTTTGTACGCTTCCTTTAGAGTACGATGAATGCGGTAACCTACGTGCGGGCGCCTCTAAACGGGTTCTTGCACTCCAGTTACGTCGTTTTGGTTTTGGATCGTCCTGATCTTTCTTCATGACTAACGAAAAGGTGTCAATATATTAAAAGATAAAAACAAAATTAGCAAAAAACTTGTAGCATTAAACTGTATTCGAATAGTATAACACATAGGACACATATTCCCGCACCTGCACACTCAGGCTACCAAACTAAACGCGTGTTCCTCGTTCAATGTTTTTAATATCAAAATTTCTTTACTTTTAACAGTTATAAGTATACATATAAACAAGTAAATACATACTAATGCAGATACATATAAATATAAATGAATAAATAAATAAAACAATCAAAAATTTTAAATATGAGCAAGAAAATATAAAAGAGTTAGATATACTCCATCAAAAAGCTTAAACCGTTTTTTGCAGATTTTTGAAGCCATATTTTTTTTTACTTTCTTTACTTATAACAACTAAATGAGCATTACAGAATGCTATTTAATCTGTATTTATTCTTTTTGAGAAAATTTTTATTTTTGTTGTCGTTATACAACGAGTATTACAGAAATAACAATAATAATATCAAACGACATTAATCAGTTGACTGTTCTCAACATGTTTTAAAAAATTTGTTCTTTTCTTTTCATTTCTGTCTCTTCTACGTTTTTTATGTTGCTAACATACTAAAAAAGTTTAATTTAAAAGGTCATTTTTATTTCTGTTTTATTGTTGTCTTTCATTATTTTTTTTCTTTGTTGCTGCTAAAAATCTTACACCAAATTTTTGAATGCATTTAAGAAAAATAGGTGATTCTTGCGACTTTTGTGAAATCATAAAATTGTTTTAAGCTTTTCTCGAGATAGAAAGAAAGTGCATCTTCGTAGAATGACAACAGCATCTGCAGCTGAAGAACAAAAGAAGAATCTGAACGGCGTTTCATTTTTTATCATGTATTGGCTCATATCTGTTTTGTTAAGAAAAGAAAAAGAAGAAAGAAAGGGCAAAATCGCACTGTATATAAGATGTTCAATTGGCTTACGTTACCTAAAAACAATTTTTTTCGTCTTTATACCATTTCTTCTCAAGTCGATTTTTGTATATCTTTCTAATACAAAAAAAAAAATAAAAAAATTTTTTTTATTTGCATTTATTTCGGTTTTTTGCGAAAACTTCATAAAACTTTTAGAGCAGCAAAAAGCTTAAG